AAGACTGGTTTTTATGATCTTCAAAAGGCAATGATTATTTAATCCCAAGAGCCCTTTGTTCACATAATTACAAAGTTAAAATTAAATTCCTTGCATTGTAGACCTGAAAGGATTAACTACACTCTTGATTGATATGTAAAGAGGGTTTTATAATCTCTAGAACTATGGCTTTTGAGGAACAAATAATCTAAAACTGTAATGTTACAGTAGGACAGAGGATATTATTAAAGGTTTATTCTTAGTATTATCTTTTGATTTGACTTTGTAATTAAATACCTTCTTGTCAAGCAGAGAGGGTATATAGAAGAATGATAATATTCTTCTGCTTTAATCATTATTGATTTCTTAGTGATTCTTTGAAGTGATGTCCAAGTGATTTCTCCAACTTTCAGACACTTTGAAGAGACAATAGAAACCTCTTAAGTCCATAAGCAGATTCTTTCCTTGCAGGTTCCCTAAGAGAGGATTATTATTATTATTATTTTGTATTAAATTCTTTTATTGGTACATTGTAGGTATACAACACAATTACATTTCTCATTGGGAATTGTACCTTTATATAATGCATCTTGGTAAAAGAGGATTATTTTAAGTTAGATAGGTTTGCTGTCCAGGCTGAAAAGTATTTACTCACCAGTTCTGATAAAAGGTCAAATAGTTTAACCTGGTGTACACATCAGACTGAGGGAACTAAAACCTTTTCTCTCCAGCACCACTGCCCTCTACCTCTGCAAAAATAAAAGGAAGAGGGATACAGAAGGATAAAACAGTGCTTACTTTCTTTTTTTCAGTGTCAGAATGTAGATCTATTTCAGATCTTCTGTTTGTTAGTTTGGTGAATCTCTTATCTGCTCAGACTCCTTTTTTAATCCACCAATTTTATAATTTTGATAAATTCTATTTATCACACACCTTTTTGCAGACCCATTTTCTTGTGCCCCACTATTCATTTTCAGAGCTCCTAAAAGTTCAGAACAAGGCTCTCTTTTTCTATACTTTGCACTTTTTCTGTTGAGGAATCTCTTCCATGCCCATGGCTGCTAAGTCTCAAATTTTAACACCAGAGCTGACTGATCTCTTTGCTGAGCCAGCTCTCTACCTGACATGCCCACCTGAATGTTTTAAAAGGCCTGTCAGATCCATCCATCTAAAACTGAACTCATACTCTCTCACAAAAGCTGTTTCTTGCAGATTGTTTCCAAGCACAATTATTTACCCTGTTTGCTTGAAACTCTTCAGAGAACCCCCAGACATTGCTAGTGGGAATGAAAATGGTACAGCCACTGTAGCTAAGCAACTTGGTGGACAAAATTAGCATATGATAGTTTCTTTCCAAGGTTAGACATAGAATTACTAGCAGTTCCATTCCTAGGGGTGGATACTGATAGGTCTCCCACTACCTCAGCAGCTATTATGTATAGTAGCTGCCCTCTTCCTATGGTGCCTTGCCCCCTCCCCTGTGTAACGTCATTCATGATGGTTGCTCCCACCAAAGAACAAACCCTTCTTCCCAGCATGCCCCTGGTCCCACCTAGAGAGTAACCTAATACTCGCTCACCTCCTACCATCTAGTGATGTCACCGGCTCCTCCACTCCCTGATCACTACCTCACTCAACCCCACCTCAGCCCCTACAAGCCCCACCCCAGTCTCTATAAAAGACTCTCCCTGCCCCGGCCATGTTGCTTTTGTCTCTCCTTTGTTCAGAGACAGCCTGGCAGATCTATTCCCCTAATAAAGGCTTGTTGTGGCCTGGTCTGGTCTTGGTCTTCGGCCCTTTTACCTGACAGATACCTAAGAGAATTTTTTGTTTTTGAGACAGGGTCTCACTATGTAGATCAAGCTGGCCTTGAACTCGCTGTGTAGTCCAGGCTGGCTTCAGACTCACAACAATCTTCCTGCCTCAGCTTCCTGAGAGCTGGGATTATAGGTGTGTGCCACTATACCAGGCATGAAAATTGAAAACAAATGTTCAAATAAAGTATGTACACGAATTTTCAATAGCTACATTATCCATGATAGCCAAAAAATTGCAGTAGCACCAGTGTCCATCACTGATGAGTCGGTAGGAAAATTGTGGTATAATGGAATAAAAAGAGATGAAGTAATGATGCATGTTACAGCACGGATATACTGGGGAAACAGTGTGCTAAACGACAGAAGCCATGTGTTGTCTGATTCCATTTATATGAAGTGCTCAGAGCAGACAAATTCATACAGAAAACAGATTAGTGGTTGCCAGGATGGAGAGATAAGGGGATTAAGTTTTGCTTTTGGGGTATGAAAATGTTCTGCAATTAGATGGTGGGGATGGGATGGCTGTACTGTATTCAGAAGATACTAAAAGCCACTGGATTGTACACTTAAAAATAGTTGAAATGGGGCCAGGGATTTAGCTTGGTGCTGCTGCCTTCTTGCAAGCACAAGGTCCTGTGTTCAATTCCTGGTACAAAAAAAGAAAGTTGCAATAGTGAGGACATGAGTTCACTGGGGCTGCTGTAACAAAGCACCACAAACTGGGTGGCAAAACAACAGAGACCAAAGTGTTGGCAGCGTTGGCTCCTTCTGAGGGCTGTGAAGAGACGCTGTTTCATCCCCATCTCCTAGCTTTGGTGATTTGCAGGCGATCTTTGGTGTTCCTTGGCTTGTGGGCCCAGCACCCCAGTCTCTTCCTTCATCTTCCTGTGGTGTCCTCTCTGTGCATGTCTATGTCCACACTTCCTCTTTTCATGGAATTGGTGTGGGGTCCACCCTTAATGACTGCATTTTAATGAACTACACCTACAACAACACTATTCCAAATAAAGACAGATTTTAAGATACAGGCTATGACTTCATCTGAATTTTGGGGGTATGCCATTCAGTCCATCATAATGGATTTTATGTTCTGTGATGGTTAATTTAAAACAATAAAAAACCAAAAGTAAGAAAGATTTAAACACACATAACATAAAAACACCATCTCCAGGAAGCTCTCACTGCTCTTAAGAGACCTCAGCCAGGACATGGCCTGACCCCTGCCTACCTGGCCAGCCTCTCTTCCCCTCCCTCACACTGTATTCTTCCTCACCACCCACAGTGTTCCCTCTGCCTGCAGTTGTGCCTACAGCCTGGGTCTCCCCGCCTCCCACCGTCCAAGTCTCAGCCTCTGTGTTACTTTTTGTGTGTGTGTGTGTGTGTGTGTGTGGCTTTTCATGACTAGCTTTGAAGTCACATAACATCATTTCCATCATATTCTATTGGTGGAAGCTGTCTTACACTGGCCTAGGTTCACAAAGAAGGGCCACAAACATCACCTCTCAGAGAGGAGTAATTTGAGGCCATGTTTTAAAACTGCTGAAATGTTCAGTGCTATCTGAATGTTTATCTCCATGCCCTCCCCCAATTCATATGTTGAAACCCAATCCCCAATTGATGATATTAAAAGTGGGGCCTTTAGCAGATGTTTAGGTTCTAGGTGACTCAGGATTACTGTTCCTCTAAGAGGCCCAAGGGAGCCTCTGTGTCCCTTTCATCATGTGAGGATGCAGTGATGAAGCAGAGTCAGTTCTCACTGGACCCAAGTGTGAAGGTGCTTTGATCTTCAACTTCTAGCCTCCAAAACTATGAGGAATAAATGTCTGTTGTGTCACCTAGTTCATGGGTTACAGTAGCTTGAACAGACTCACTCATCAATCTGTTCTTTCACAATACTTTTGTAAACTGCTCACTCTTTTGTCTCAGTATTTTTTTCTACCTTAAGCTTATTTTGTTGGCCCTTGTAGTCCTGACTTCTGTCACCTTGGCCGACATACCATAGCTGCTTGGTAAAACAGTGAAGTGAAAGTTGACTGGGGAATTAGAAAAGGTAGACTAAGGAAAACCATGCATTTGTACTGTGCATAGCACAAGCTTGTGCAGTGGATCCAAGTGTGATGGGCAATAAGTATGCTCAGTGGCTTGAGCTTTATCTTTCAGCCCCATGATCCCAGTTCAGCAGTAAATCCAAGGCTGCCTGTGACTGTCGTTATTGCAAGAGATGCCTGAGAGCTAGCTGCCAATCAAGACAGAGTCGTACTGATGCTTTCAGTAAAATACAGAACAGAATTAAAAATTTAATTTTTTAATTGTGTGTGTCTGTGTGTGTGTGTGCGCGCGCACGTGCATGTGCTCATGGATTTCTGTGCTTTTTGGGTGAAGGAAAGGTAGCAAGGGATACAATTTTTTATTTTTAGCAGACTGACTTTGTCAGAGCTTTACGGGGCTGATCATTTTTACTCAACACTCCCTGTAGAATTTAGAATGAGATTTTTCCTCCCATCATCTCCTTGGCTCCTTGTTTCTTTTAAGAATTTTGAGTCTGAGCTGGAAGTGCATATAACCTTGCTAGGCCCAGGATTCACCTATTCCCCTGGCTTCTACTCCTCTGCTTGACAGCTATGGTATGGATTTGTTGGATGAGAGCTGGGTTCCATCCTTTGCCTGTAAATAAAGTTTAAGGCAGTCATTTATACAGAACCCTTAAATTGCAAGGTGATACAGTTCAACAAGTTAAAATGCAAATGTAGTTTTCCCTCCTGCATAGCAGAGACCCCAAAGTAGTGTGGAGCAACACTTAAAAACACCAGGGTCTCATGGACCTAGGTTTGAACCTTGACTCTCACTTTTCACTGATGTGACCTTAGGCATGTTACTCACCCTCCATATGCTTCCTTTGTTTAAAAAAAGAGAAGGAGAATAATAGAGTTAGAAAAATTGAGTGAGATTATACATCTGAAGATCCTTGTGGTTTCTGTCACATGGTGAGTACTTAGTCAATTTTAGTTACTAGACAGTTATCCATTTTATTGCTTGAGCTCTACTTGGAATTTATTTACAGTAATACTTGAATAGCTTTTAAAGAATGCTTGATCTTATTCTGATATTCTAATTGAATTGGAAAGAGTTTATGTTGAGATTATATTATGATCATTTCTATCTTTAATATTTGTGACTTTTGCTTTGAAAAGCATTTAGTACAGAATAAATAAATCTAAAATGAAATGGAGAAATGGCTCAAAATTCTCAGACTTTAGGAAATTGCGTTTACTTTTCTACATTTTTCTAATATCTACAGTAGTTCATGCTACAGCTAAAGCACATGGACTTCTTTGTTGTAGGATGTTTGATTTAAAGCTGGCAGGATCAGAAGGGGACTGGTCTTTTCCAAAGTCGAGAACCAGAGCCCCATACTCTCTTTACAGAAGGCCGCGATGGTGGCAGGTGCTGTGGCCTGTTGTGAAGTGAAGGTGAGGAGGGAAGTTTCATAACAGACGGTTTCTTGTTTATCTGGGGCCTGTCCAGCTCTAAGCTTTGAAAGTGATGGACCAGACCCTAAACTGGCACAGACAGGTGGGATTGCCAGAACAGGAAGCAAGGTTCTAGGTTATTATCTTTGGGGCAGCTGCCGCTGCACAGTTGGTGGGCTGGCATGTTAGCAATGGCTTCTTGTGGTGATTATGTGTGGTACCACAATGAGGTGAGAAACTGGGCCTGGAATCTGTGGAGGTTGTAACCACACTAGAGCTGTTGGCATGTGTTAAAATGGGTGTCAGCTACTGTGTCTCATAGGACTTATGGATGGAAATGCATGAATGTGGGAGCCAAAGACATGAGTATGTGTGTTCTCTGCTGATCAGCCTGGAGTTCTGGATTGTGTGGCACAGTAAGTGATGTTTTGTGGGAAGCCATGGCTGTCCTCTCTGACATTAGCCTCCAAAGACTAAGCGCTTATCCCATACATTGCTAACATCCTCTGCTAACCTTTCTGAAATTGTTAAATTAGTCTAGGCTGGGTTCTAGCATATATCATGCTTCTCTTTAGCTGAATACCCTTGGGCAAGCTACTTAATCTCACTGTTCCTAGCTTTCTTTATCTAGAAAATGAAAGCCCAGCCTAGACACTATCATAAGTTTGTGATGACCTCTGTTGTCCACGTTTGATTAAACAATTTTCAGCCATATGTTTTGGTATTTGCTGCTTTGAATAGTTGAATTCTACTGGTTTTACTTTACTGTAAAGGAAGAGACACACACTTCTTTTTTGGTTTTAAATTTTTTTCTTGAAGATGTAGGTGGTGTGTCTCCATATCCAGTATGTAAAGGTTTGGAAATTAAAGAGTCTGTATCATTTTATAGAGAAGGGCCCAAACGTTATCTTTCTGCATTGTATAACTGATCTTGTCCCTTTTGTTGTTGAGACAGTATGAGTCACAGTTGCTGTTGGGGAAGTAAGATGCAGAATCACAACATACAATTGTAGAAGGTGTTCTTGCAGGGGCAGTAGAGTCCGTCTGATCAACCCTTCATGCTGAGAGTTGAAGGCTGAGGCCCAAAAAGGTCTCCTGATGAATCTGAGACTGCACTTTGTTCATCTAGATATCCTAGCACCTCCTGGGCCTCGAAACCAGGTATGCTTGTTTTTTTTTTTAAAACAATACTTGGCAGGGTGACCCTGGCTAACCACCTCTCTCATCAACTCTTTCCCCAACCTGGTAGGTGCTGGAGTGCCATGTCACCTCTTCTGTGAAGCATCATTTTAAGGTAGTGTGAACTCCAGAAGCCTTTGATTTCCCCTGGGCTGTTTCTCAGGAGCTAGGCTCAAGCCTCCACGTTTTTTTTAAGATAAGCAGTTGCTTCTTGCCTCTCTCATGCCAGTTCCTTTGTCTGAAGTTTTAACTTGTAAGAGGAGAGCACAGGTACAGTTCTGAGGAATGATGCAAATTCTGTGGAATGTGAAGGAAAAGGCGCTGAGTGGGTTGAGCTAATGTGGAGCTAAGAAACCATAGTGCTGGAAAAATGCCACCAAAGAGGCCTTGCAAATCTACCTAGTGCTTGGATAAGGCTCCTTGGCAGAGCTCAGGGAAGTGGGAAACTTCTGGAGAGGTTTTATGTGTGATGTCTGAGGTGAGTACTAACATCTGTATCATGTTTCCTTTTGATCTCACTGACTCTGCTTTTTACCTTGCCATAGCCACCCAGTGCCCCATGGTAGTTCCTAGGATTTGGCCATTTCTCCTTTAATTCTGCCTCTTTTCCTTACATGAAAATGTGACACATTTACCTTATTTTTTGCATTCTAAAGGATTAACTTTTAAAAACATGTCTGAAATTCCAGAGAATTTAAGAATCAATGTATATTTTTAATGTGATGTAATTTTTTTCCCTAAAAACAGAAAACCACTACACCCTTGGAGCTGAAAATAACAATAGGTAAACACCAGACATTTTTAGTGAAGAGAGATAGTGAGGGATGGAGAGCAGACTTATTAGAAAGAGAGGGCAGTGTCAACCATGAAGGTGGGAATGATTTGCTAAGTGAAGCAGAAAAATACAGTGGATTTCACATCCACAGAGTCAACTGACTGCAGATCTAAAATATTAAACAAAAATTCTGTCACTGCTTAGCATGTACAACCTTTTCCCCTTGTTTTTGTTTCCTAAACTATACAGTGTAACAATTACTTGCATAGCGTGTGCATCATATAAAGAATCATAAGGAACCTAGAGGTGATTTAGAGTATACAAGAGAATGTGCCTGTTTTATCCAAATACTACACTGCTTTATATAAGGACTTACACATCCATGGATCTTTCTATTTGTGGTAGAACCTGGAAGCAGTCCTGGCTTCCAAGGGATGTTTGCATTCTCTTTGGCCCTGAGTTTTTCAGGTTCATGTAACTTTTGCACAAGGGCAGCCTCTCAAGAATCCTCAGGAAAGCTGTGGCATCTGGCTGGTCCCAAGGCGCACACACTCTGTAACAGGGGTTATCATGCAGGTTACATGTGACTAAGGAGAACATAATCTCAAGAACGTCCTTAGCTAGGTCTCACAGGTGCTGAGCTGGCAGGGTATTTTACTGGGGATGTCACTAGCAGTAGATTTTGACTGTTTTTACCTTGAAATTCCTGCTAGGGTGACCGTGGTGGGCCTAGCTAGTCATCATCTTCTCTATTTTTTATTAAATACATCATCATATGCTTGTGGCCCATGGTGATTGCATGTGTGTACGTGTGTGTGTGTGTGTGTATGTGTATGTGTGTGTGTGTGGTCAGAGGATGGTTTGGCTCAGGCCTTTAGTTACTTTCCTTACTATTATCTCTGCATGAATTTACACATTCTCTTTCAGAGACAAACTGGCAGAATTGAAAGAAGACGGCATTCATCATCAAAATTTAAATTTGTTTCTCATTAACAGACATTCTGCCTGTAGTGCACTATGAATTAATGTGTTTTATAAATCTTGTAACTGTCTTATGAAGAGTATAATTAGTCATAAGTGTTTGGGTGTTAGAAATGTTAATTTGTTCAATGTAGGCATTAAAATGTTTTGTCATTTCTTTATTTTTACCTATCACTGGGAGCTTTAGAAGATGTAAGTGGCTCAAGCCTCCCTTGACCTCTAAGTGACCCTGCTGAACTGGCTTAGTATTGGCTGGCCTGGCTCACGTACTCACTCTGGCCCAGTTGCCTGGGGCTGCAGGACTCACAGGGTGTGGACATCTGGGGGAGGGGGAAAGAGGGCACAGGGAAGTGCTCTGGGTGTGGCAGGCCTGCGAAGGAGTGAAGAATGGGAATCTAGGAATCTGACTGCTGAGACTGAAGAGTAAGGCCCAAGCAGGACTGTGATTTGGTCCTGAGATTTTAAAGGCATAGGTAGCCCAGTTCTTTTTCTGTGTCTGTGCTTAGAGACTACACATGATGCCAGATGTCTTAAAAACTGGGGAGACTACAACTCATTTCTGCTTTGAGGTATGAAGCCACTGGTAAACTACTTTAAAATGAAAAAAAAAATTGTTTAGGCAATTATTGGTGGTGGTTTAGGCAATTGGTGGTGGTATTGGAAAAATTTCAGAGGGAACAGCTCTACAAGAAAAACAGTTCCAGAAGTAGGAGAGGTTAAAGAGATGTGAGGGGCCATTTAGTCAGCTGGATGGCGCTAAAAGCCATAATTGGTTGTACTTCATGAGGGTTAAAATTGGAAAGCAATGTGAACATGCAGTTTAAGCCATGGGGTGGAAGGGCTTTGAAATTTAAAAAAAATGATATGTAGTAGTAATAGAGACCTTCCAGTTTTAAATTCATGAACCAGACTCTCTTTCTCTTCCCCCAGTTTCTTTTATCAATGTGTAGTAATTTATTCTATAACTACCACCAAGAGATGTCTTATTCAGGACTGGATTGCATGAGTCACCAATTTTGTTGTTGTTTGGCCAAAGCTGTAAAGTGTAAAATAAGGACCAAACATTTTTATGGGAAAAGATTGGCACATTAGCAGACAGTGACGTGAGCAGTCTGGGAGCCTGTTGTGTTGTGAAGGGAGGGGTGTTTCGTAAAGGCCACATTTGTATGATTAGAGAGCACAAACTATGAGTAAAATGTCTGCAGCTACTAAAGTAACCTAGTAGATGTGGATTCTTATTCATTCACAAAATATCTTTGCTATGTGCTTGTTGGAATCATGATATCCTGGGCAGATTTTATAATGATCATTTATGGTATAGTAAACATCTAGAACTACCATAGGAGAATAGAGCATAGACACCATTGATAAGCCTGCTGCTTTGTGGAGGGATGGTGCTTATCAGAAATTGCAGCATTACTGTAAATTTTTCTTCAGACTTATCATATGGGATGATTTATTTGATAGTTCAGTATATTATTTTGCCAGGAAATGTCGTTAGTACTCTTCTCAAAAGGGCAGTGTGCATCTGAATCACCTGTGGAACTTAAAAAGCAAAACCAAGCAGACCATGGACTCCCTCCTGATCTACTGAACTTCATCTCCAGTGCTGGGCCTGGGCACTGTACTTTTCATTCTAAAGTCTTTTCTTCTTTCTTCCTTCAGTAAATATATATTGAGCTTGATGACCATCACTGATCGGGTCTAAAATGGTGAGGAAAACAGAAATGATTCCTCTCTTCTTGCTATTTGTATATATGAGCAAGAGCCTGATCATCATTATGTAAGGACTGTGGGAAAAACCGATAATTATAAATTGCAGCAATACCATGGAGAAAAAAAATAGAACACAAGGGCATCATAAGAAAGTGACAGAAGATCAGTTTAGATGAGGGAGAAAGCATCTCTGAGGAAAATGAGACAGGTGCTGAAAACTGAAAGGAGTTCACCATGGGCAGAGAGGCAGGAGAACTCCAGGCAGAGGGGCAGCATTTTGGGATGCTTCTGGGAAAGACATGATAGGCTTGCATCACTGCACTGCAGGATTTCAGCCCATGAGAATGAGAAATGACCACGTCCCAGGGAGAGGTGGCAAGTCATCATTCCATGCTGTCCCTATTCTGTACTCCCTTAGTCTTGCAGTTACAAAAACAATTTACTTGACTGTCCATTTAAAGGAAGGATATTATGGTATGGGTCTAAATGATCCCCAAAGCCTCATGCAAGCCTGGTGGCTTTTCGAGAAGTGGCTGAATCTAGAGTGTGTGATGCTGGGATGTGTGTGATTACTAAACCAGTACACTGATTGGTTTGGCACTGCCCTAATCCCAGTAGTTTGGGTAAGATAAAAGGGGCAGAAAAACACTGTTAATGTTCCCTTGTTGCTTTTGCTACTGTGTGGGCACCATGAACTGTTTCTCCTCTGAGACACCCCTCTGCCATGTGCTACTCTGCCTTAGAGCCAGGTGATTATGGACTGAAACCTCTACAGACCGAGCAAAATAAATCCTTTCCCCTTTAACTTTGGATGTCCGGTATTTTGCCTCAGCAATAAGAGAAAAGCAACACACAGGGTCCTTGCCCATTGTAGCTGTATCACTGTTCATGGTTGCTAAGCATATTCTAGGATGGCTCTTGACTTTGTCTTGGGAGTTATACAGGGACTTCACTTGAAAACATTACAAGAACTAAAAGATTAAGCAAAAGAATTTAATTGAAGGCTGCGTCATTATTCTTGGAAATCCCTTGATGCTTGGCCATTGTCTTGCAGGCTGTGTCCATTCCCTGTTAACTGCTAGCTGCTTGGAGCAAGCGGCTGTCGGCCTTCACCTCCAGCCTGACTTTAATAGAGCTTGGAGCTCGCTTCCTTCCTGCTCTCCCCTGTGACAGAAGGAAGAGTTCATGCAGTTATTCTTTGGAATGAAATATGTCTTAGTCTCCAGTGAAGGTACTCCGGTAGACTTACTGCTAGGTGCTGGGTTTTCTGTAGAATTAGGATCCCCAGCGACATTATTGGTACTAATGTCTATGTAATGTAAATTTGCGACAGGGACCTGTGTGTGGTTGTGGTTCTCTGCCCAAGTGCTGTCAGCCATGGGCAAGGGTAGAATCTAGTGAATACCATCTGCCCTCTCCCCTGCCAGGCACAGGTCAAGGCTTGGAGCTGGCTCAACCCAGTGCAAGAGGATCTTTGTCTGTTTCTCATGAAAGCAACTCACCAAGCTAAGCCCAGCCACTTCTCCTCTCCCCCAGACTATAAGGGCTGGCTTGGGAGAAACCTCAGTGAGCTCTGGGCCCCTGTAGTACAGGACTGGAACCTGGTTAGTCCTCTCTATATGACACCTTCCTCCCTTCTGTGTTGCTAGTTTCAGTAGGCCTCTTTGTACAATCAGTACATACAAATCATAAACATCTGACATTTTAAAATATTTTTTGTTACCATGATGCCTTAGTCACTTTCCTGATGCTGGGACAAAATATCCAGCACCAGCAACTTAAAGGAGGACAGGATTATTTTGGGCCTTGGCTTGAGTTCATGGTTGGCTGGCTCCAAGGCAGAAACAGCATGGTGTAAGGGCCTGGCAGAGGCAGCTGCTGTGAAGCAGAGACAGAAGGGAAGAGCCAGGGACTAGAACGTGCTCTTCCAGGTTACACCCCATTGACCACCTCCAGCCAGGCCCCAGCTCCTAATGACACATTCTGCTCCTGCACTCATCAGTGGATAGATCTACTGGTAAGTATAGCACCCCATGATCCAGTCACCCTCCAAATACAGGAGGCTTTGGGGGAACATTTTAGATCTCAACCATAGGACATGCTGACTTTCATTTTAGCCTCTTGTCAAAAAACAGTATTACTCCAATTTATCAGGTAAACCTATTTGGGAAATCTCAGAAGTGTGGGCTGCCTGGGTATAGTTAGAATCACATTCACACATACAGGCTGCCTTCTCGAACTTCAGAGCATTTGCATGTTAATATCTTATTGGATTCTCAATAAAATTGAGCAGGTACTTTTTTTGTACCGGGTATTGAACTTGGGACCTTGCACTTTCGAGGCCAGTGGCAGAACCACTGAGCTAAATCCCCGGACCCAAGCAGGTATTTTTATTTCTAGTTTATAAAAGGAGAAGCTGAGGTAAGTGACTTTGCCCCAAACATCAGAGGTGGAGCCAGAGCTGGAAAATAAGTTCTCTGTTTCCTTTGGGACCTGTTAGTGTGTGGATTAGTCTCCTGTGGTGAGCACATCCTGGAGTGCAGATCATAACCCTCAGATCATAATTCAGAGGTGAGCAGTCTGGGTTGGAGGGATGGCCATGCCTTCTTCCACATCTGGCTGCCCAGATGGCTGCATTTGTCATTGTGTCTCAGCCAGTGGTGCAAGTGTCTGTGTCTGTAAGAAGATGACCCCAGAAACCAACACACCGCTTCAAGTCCTATCACATCACTTACAGTTGTAGGAGAAAATGTGGCTTCCAAGGAGCCTGGGAAGTGGGCCTCAATGGTGGGAAGGTATGTCAGACTAAGAGGAATTTTAAAAATTAATTTTATTTTTTTGAGACAAGGTCTTACTGCATTGCCCAGGCTGATGTTGAACTCCTGACTCAAGCAATCCTCCTTCCTCAGCCTCCTGGGAGTATAGGCATGTGTCAACACACCCCAAAGTACAGGAGAATATAGTAATAAAAACAGCAAGGGGAAGATCCCCGGGCGCTCTCTGCCACATTTATTCCTATTCCTCACTGACCCAGCATCAGGGTGAGTTAGGGCCTCCGAATGAGTTGTTAGCTAATAAAGATGCATGATGCAGGGCTGCTACAGAACATTTCATGCTGTGCCTAAAAGTACTGTCCATTAATCAGACTGCTCTTTGTGCATATGCTTAGATGTGCTTCTTGGAACTAGTTCATTCAGTCAACAAAGTGTATGAGTACTGCATTGTCTGGGGTCCAGTCATTGATGGTGCCTATAAGATGGGCAGGGCTAGTCCCAGTCCTGTTTGTGACAAAGATCCTACTGTCATAGCTAATTCTGAACCCCAAACAACAAGAAAGGGGTTGGATTACTTATCATCATCTTTTTATTTTTTTCTGCAGTATTAGAGATTGAGTCCAGGGCCTTTGCACTGGACTACATCACCAGTCTTTTAAATTTTTTATTAACTTTTGATCATCCTGCCTCAGCCTTCTTGATTGCTGGGATTATGGGCATGTGCCACCATACCTTGCTATTATCAAATTTGGGGTTTTTTTTTGGTACTGGGGATCAAATTTGGGACCTTGCACTTGCGAGGCAGGTGGCAGAACCACTGAGTTAAATCCCCGGCCCTTATCAAGTTTTAAAAGGACATTTTTTCACCTGCTCTTCCTCAGACAAAGGTCTACTATCTCGAATCTATAAAGAACTTAAAAAGATCAGACTTCCCAGATTTAAAGACCCAATCCAAAAATGGGCATCTGAAATGAACAGACATTTCTCAAAGAAGTAGAAATAGCAAATAAATACATGAAAAAATGTTCAACATCACTGGTCATTCGAGAGATGCAAATAAAAACAATGCTGAGATTCCACTTCACTCCAGAAAGAATGGCTGCTATCATGAAATCAACCAATGACAAATGCTGGCGGGGCTGTGGGGAAAGAGGAACCCTGCTCCACTGCTGGTGGGAGTGTAAACTGGTGAAACCACTGTGGAAATCAGTATGGCGATACCTCAAAGAACTAGGACTGGAAGTCCCATTTGACCTCACTATTCCCCTGCTGGGAATCTTCCCCAAAGAATTAAAAGAATCATACCATAGTGATATATGTGCACCCATGTTCATAGCAGCACAGTTTGTAATAGCTAAAACTTGGAAACAGCCCAAATGTCCATCAACTGGAGACTGGATAAAGAAAATGTGGTTTTTTATAAAATGGAGTACTACTCAGCCATAAAAAATGAGAAATTAGAGACATTTATAGCTAAGTGGATGCACATTGAGGCGATACTCTTAAGTGAGATAAATAGGACACACATGAATAAATTCCGAATAGTTTCTCTGGTGTGAGAAACTGAAAGTGTAAATAAGGACTAAATGTATAATAGGTAATGTGAAATAGGAAGAAAAGGGGCATAGGGGAAGGAAGTGAGAGGGCTAGAGGAAAGGATAGAAGGGAATGGGATTAATATGAGAAAATGGAAAAATAGGAACAAAATCTTTGTAAACAGGGAGGAATGGAGGGGTTGAAGGGAGGGCTGGGCTAGGGTGAAAAATAAGAACCAAGAGAGACTATGTAAAGGTGCAAATTTCCAATGATGAATGTCATATTGTATACCTAAAATGTACCAATGATTAGAATGAATAATCAAAAATGTAAAATAGGAAGAAAAGGTCTAAAGGGGCAGGGGTAGTGGGAGGGGCAGGGGAAAGGAAAGAAGGGAAAGGAAAAATGCTGAGAAATGGAAAAAATGTAAATAAAGTCTTTGTAAATAGGGAAGTGCGGAGGGGTTGAAGGGAGGGCTAGGAATGGGAAAAAAAATAAGAGCCAAGATGCATTATGTAAAGGTAGAATTCCCAATGAGAAATGTAATTGTGTTGTATACCTACAATGTACCAATAAAAGAATTTAATTTAAAAAAAAAAAGGACATTTTTTTCTATGCTAGGAACCAAGTGGAGCTTACATGGTGAGAGAGTGGTGTCTTGGCCTAGGGCCTTGCCTGCTGCAGCTGGACTCATGGCTGACAACCATGTCAGCCTGCTTGGGCCCAGTGAGGGCCTAGACCTGCGCCCAGACACAGGAGGACGAACTGGAGCCGTGAGGAGCTTCCTTCACTGTCCCTCTCTGTTCCTTGGGCTCCCCGGGCAAGAACGGATTCTCTGCATGGGTGATTGTGTCTACCTGAGAGGACCAGCGGAGAGGGTCACACAGAGAACATGTCCTGTTTTTCCTCACCATCGTTCTGGCCCCACCTCAGCCTCTGACCCGGCCCTGTCCTCTGCCCCACCTTCCTCGGCCACAGTGGGCTTGATGCTTTCCACTTGAGCTGCATGATGAAGCAACATGAGGAGTTTTAAAACACTCGTGTCCAGACCTCAGCCCTAGCACACCGACTTAGTCATGGCCAGTGCTTTGGAAGCAGTGTTTTAACCTCCTTAACGTTTTTTTAGTTGAGAATAATGTGACAGCTGGGACTGAAAATTTTGGTCCAGTGTTGGTTGTTGTTGATTTTTCTTCTCATCCGTTCTTGATACTACTGTGCCCTAGAATACTGTATTTTTTAGG